ATATATATACACATATATGTATATATATGAGACTATTAATGATGAAAACTTATTTGTCATTGTAATGTCATGGAGTTTGAAAACAATAAAAATAAAATAAAATTATTCCAAATTGCACTACATTCGTAATTTACTTTGTTTCTTCTATTTCGTTGATGATTAACCAAAAAACTTTCGGGGGTTTGTTTTTCAGATGGATTTGTCCAGTTTCATAATGAAACAACAGTGCGAGTGTTTAAACGAATCGGATTATCACACTTTTCCTCAGTGTTTGAATTCGGACAGTGGGTATCTTCAGAGCGACGAGGACGAGCAGTTGATAATGTCCATCGCATTCTCGCAGCCCGTTAAGATTCACTCACTTAAGGTCAAGGCACCCACGGAAAATGGACCGAAAAATATGAAACTATTTATCAACCAGCCCAGAACGATTGATTTTGAAATGGCAAGCTCCAATACGAGCATTCAAGACCTAACGTAAGCCTTATATTATAAATCAGCAGGATATATTTAAATCGATATAGAATACAAAGAATAAAAAATATCTTCAAAATATTTTCAAAAATTATTGAATATCTTTCTAATCGTAAATCAATTGATCAGTTTAAAATAATTATCAAAATCCTTCTTTTATATAGACAGTACACTCGGAAAAAAGTAACAACTTATAAAGTAATACAAGTTTTATGTATAGAATTAATTATGTAAATATATATGTATATAAGTATATATATATATATATTGAATAAACTAATTTATAGTTATTGCAACGATAAAATAGTTTATATAATTATGTGTATTAATTCAATGTATAAAGCCTTTATAGTTGTTATTCCACTGTTTTTCTCTGAATGTAATTAAAATTTTTTAATTTTTTAGTACATTATTTCTAGTGTAATGTTAGAACAGAATTTTTCTTTAACTTACTTTACTTTTTAAATAAAAAATTAATGTGTGCGATTTCGATGTAGATTGTCATCTAAGGACCTTGAAGAGGGAAATCCGATACCTCTGCGCTATGTCAAATTCCAGAATGTGCAAAATCTTCAAATATTTGTGGCAGACAATCAAAACGGCTCAGAAACAACGAGAATCGATCATCTAGTCGTAATCGGCTCACCAATCTCGACTACGAACATGGGAGAATTCAAGAGAGTGTCTGGCAAGAAGGGAGAGAGCCATTGAATGACTTTTCTGCAACAATTGCTTTCCATTTACACACGAGTGAAACTGAGTCTGAAGTGAGCCGAGTATTTTATACTCAGATTAATGTCATCACTACTTGCTTACTTTAAAAAGTTATCCCATGTCAATACAGATTCGTAACCTCACTCTGAAATAAGTTTACGAGACTCACTAAAGTACACGATCTCGATCTTGTGCAGATTATAGGTAAAAACTCAGTTGAATCTTACTTGTCAGAATGCAAAAGGAACGCGCATTCAACTGAGTTATGACGTCATAAGTGAGAATTATCTGAGAATCGGTGTAAATGGAAAATGACTATTAATATACCGGATATTACATCAGGAATTTCAATTTGCCTACTAACATTCCCCATTGTTTTTTTTTTGGCATGGAAGAAAAGAGGAAAAAAAACAGCTGTAACAAGACTTAAAACAATAAAATCCGATTTGAATACTGTATAATTTTACTTGTAATTTATTATTAAGTTCACAAAAGTAATAATTTATATTAAGTAAAATCTATTATTAATTTATGAAAACATTTACAACTATGTTTAATGTACAAGGGACGAGTCTTCTGCAAAGTATTATACAATTAATTTCACTTTAAAACGTTCGTCTGCAATTACACCTACCTCCTATCTTTCATAATGAAGCGATTCGTGTAATAATCCGTCGTTTGATTAATTAATTTTACACCGTTCCCGCATTTTCCTCCATTTTTATTTGAATTGGAAAAAATTGCAGATTCTATTTACTCATAAAATAGAACAAAATAATCACTGTAAAGAAGACTTTGAGTGATTTCGCTTTTAGAAATATAAACAAATGAAATATCTTCAGATTATAAATTTCTGATTTAACTTGACAAGTAGATCATTTGAATACACACAGTATTTAGCTCTTAGTTACCTTTTTATATTTGTGTATGTCTCTCAACAGTTTGTCTTCTTTCATATAGATTTCCGCTTCTTATATTATAGATTTCCTATCTTCTTTCATATAAATCTCCAAAAGATTACAGTATCACGGTTTATAACAGACGAAATGAACTTTTTACAAAAATTTTTAAGTGTCCTTTATTGAGAGGCTTTGTGAATTCGCCAAATACCTCCGCACCGGCAAGCACGTGTCCATCGTTGATCCCAGGCTCTGATCGCAGCTGTCCTCGTCATGTTCTGTACCTGTGCTTTACCACCGCACCTAAAGATGTAAAAAATATAAAAATATATATAAATAATATTAAAAAATAAAGAATTATGGACTCTCTCGCGTTTTACAAACGCAACAATAAATGATTAGAGCAATGAGAATCGACACGCAGTTGTTCGTGCGTAACTATAAATTTATATTCAAATTGAATTGTACAAACGAACGTTTCGGCTCCGCTTTGAGCCATTTTCAGCATATCGATTCTAATTAGCCCTAATCATTTATTGAAATAATATTAAGATTAGAAACAGAATTGTTTATTTGGATAAATCAACTAAGTACGAAGAAGCACCAATTACAGTCAAAATTTACAGTACAAGTAATTACAGTACAAAAATATTAAGTTTTTTTATAATTTACTGCTGATAATATGTATATTTTTATTTTTTTTTTTGACATTTTATGTTTATATTTAATTTTTATCGTGCTCTTTATTTCTCCTATAATATTCCCATTGTACTTGACTTTCTCATTACAATGATATCTCTCTCTGTATTCACATCTTTGTAACAGACCATCGTTAAGCTTTTCGCTACGTAAGTTTTTAGTAATTTTGATTAATATAGTTTTTATTACAATTAATTAAAGTTCTTTTGAATCATTTATTTTAGTGGAATTTTTTGAACATGGACTGTTTGTATATTCAGTAAAATATAACAGACGACTATTTGAAAATTCAAACAGCGACAATAGTTTAACAATGTTTTGATGATCTAGCGTTTTTACTTTAATTTGAATTTAATTTTCATGAAATTATCTTAAACACATATATTCTACACTGAAGAACACTCAATACCAGAGTTGAAACGTCCTGTATCAAATTTTTTTAATTTACATTTTGGATTACACACGAACAACTGGTGTCGGCTTACATTTCGCAATTCCTTTACATCAACGTATTTAATCGTTTAATTAAGTTTTTTATTTTAAAATTATTAATATTTCAGATTCATTATATTAAAAGACCGAAAGTAATTGGCACAAAGTCATTTCCGAGATAAATTTATTTAATATGTATGTATTAGAGTCTAATATCTGACTTTGACCGTAATTGGCGCTCCTTTGTATTTAGTTAGTATATAAAGCTATCAATATACAGGTGTCCCAACAACTATTAGCACCTGAAATATCTTCGAATCTATAAGATCTACAGGAAAATTTGTATAACCAAAATTGCACGTTATAAAGAGGTCTATCACATGGCAATAATAATTTTTGTCCAGGTGAAGGCACTTCAGAGATTTCAAGGTTAACTTAATTTTTTTTAATGGAATTATATGATTTTTTTACCTGATATGATTCCTCTAATTATTTTGTATATAAAAGTATTAATGTAGAAGTATCGAAAAATCAATAGTTTACGAGATATTTTATACTTTATTTTGACACATATTGACATAAAATGTTAAATAAATAACTCGTAAATTAATAATTTTTTTATAATCGTACGTTAATGCTTTTATGAACAGAATGAGATGAATCAATTGATGTAAAGAAAACACAGTTGCTTATTTAAAAAATTATCCATTTTGCAACCACATTTTTTAAAAGCAACTATCTGTTTTCTTTACACCAATTGATTCATCTTATTCTATTCATAAAAGTATTAAGGTATGATTATCAAAAAATTATTAATTTACCAATTATTTTTAATTAACATTTTATGTCAATATGTGCCAGAATAAGGTATAAAATATTTCGTAAAGTATTATGATTTTTCGATATTTTTACTTTAATACTTTTGTACGCAAAATAACTAGAATTATATACGTAAAAAAAATCATATAATTCCATTTTAAAAAATGAAGTTGACCTTGCAATCTCTGAACGCCTCTATCTCCAGACGAAAATTATTATCGCCATATGATAGATCCCTTTATATCGTGCAATTTGGGTGTACAAATTTTCCTCTAGACCTTATAGATTCGAAAATATTTGAGGTGCTAATAGTTATTGAGACACCCTGTATTATTAAGGATCGTTAATACATATTATATATCTTTTTATATATTTTTTGCTAGTTGATAATCGATATAATTTATGAATTAATAATACCTCGTGCACTGTTTCACCAGAAGCGGCTGTCTTCCTAAATACAAATGTCGTATCGTGTCCACGATCTGTCCACTGTGCATACAACCTTCAACGGGATTCATTTCAGGTGTAAAAACCAACTGTTCGGGTTCCACCCCGTATTCCAGCTGCAATCACAAAATAATAATAATAAATAAATATACAGGCATAATACATATGTATATAAAAAAAAAAAAAAAATTAGCAAACAATTTTGAATATATTTTTACTAGAAATGATTCTAACAATATATTCTCTTTTTGTATGAATAAGCAATTCTCACCTGTAATGGTAGGTTCTGATAAAACAAAATCGGGGAGACTATAGCGGTGATGCTGTTGCCTTGATGCAATTGTGGAATCATGATCTGATTTGGCAGCAGGCAGCATTCATCTGAAAGGAGTCCTTACTTCAAAACTTTCAGCATCGGAAATATAAGAAATACTGTCGATTCCAAATTGAAAAATGTATCTTGTGTGTCTGATAATGTACATAAACAGTTATATGTGATAATAATCGTAACTTTTGTAGAAGAGAACAAGGTAGAAAGATTTAATAGTATCCAACACTTTTATCATTTCTAGTATCCTTTATTTATACAGCAGCTTTTTCTTAAACAAAACTTCAATCCTTTTCTTCGTTTAGATCATATATTTCTCGAATTTTTTAATTAACTATTATAAGTAATTGTCTCCGGCAATTTAATTAACTGGTGAAGTGAAGGTTTCTTGCGAATGTGCTTCATTGGATTGCAATATTATCACCGGTTTCTCCACAATTAATCCAGTCTCTTCGTCCACGTTTGGATCGATCTGAAGGAAGACCTCCGTTTTCTCACTTGTTGGACTCTCCACGTCGGCTATGAAGTAACTTGATTCGCGTTTTGACCTCAATTTATTATCCTTTTTGTCCTTTACATTCTCATCCTCTGTATCTTTTACATCCTTTCTGTGCTCCACGTCCTCGATATCCGTTCCATTCGTTATACTTTTTACGGTTTCCGCACTGTCATTCTCGGTTGTTTCGCTCGGGAAGAAATGCGTTCTAGTTTTCAGCGATCTCTCGACCTTCTCCGCTTCACGGATCAAATCGATGAAGAATAAATCCCTCGGCGACATAGGCGTCTTCGGGGATTTTACCTCGTCCTCCGAGGGCGATACCGTTACCAGCTTCAGATAATCCTGCAGGGGACTCTTCTGAACATAATCACTAGCAACGCTTAAGCGAGTTTTCTCATTTTCTTCGACACACACCACTCCATCAGTATCTTCGATGTTTTCACCTGATATTTGTTTATGTATCACCAAAGGCGGCAAATCTCTCCTGAGATTTTCTCGATCGCTCTTAGATTCCGATTCGTGAGAATCATTCCACTTCTTCGTCCTTAGAAATTCCGAGTCTTCAGATGATATCTGGTGAACACTTCGGGGTCTCCTCTCTTTATCCGAACCATATTTCGAGATCGTATTAATTTCAAGGCTTTGTTTAACTTGGAAACGTCTCCAGAAGATTATTAATCCGCACATGATCACGATCCAGATCAGAAACGCGACTGTCCAGAAGAGAAAAGACCAATATGAAGGCCAATACGCGAATTTGTAACATATGGCCCAAATTAGAGGACAGAGGACGAGCCAGTAGACCACGAACACACTCAAGGTTGACCAAGGAAGCGACAGGTGTTCGTATCTCTTCAGCCTGGATTGTTGGATCGTGTAATTCTTTTCGTGCAGTTTATTTTCCTTCAAGACAAGGGAGTCTTTATGCTTGATCGCAAGCTTGGTAGTCATTATATCTTCATGGATTCGATGGATTTCACTTTTTCCTTTTGTGCGTGCGTTGTATTTTTCTTAGGATGTATTATCCTATTATTATACTTGTATTGAGAGAGAAATGTAATAATTGAACTGTCACACACAAGGTGTATTATTTGCAATTCTTCTGATCCATGTACTTGCTGCTGTATTATTGCACGATTATATTGCAGAACTGTTACACAATGCGAACCGTTTAATACTGTTAATACGATATATCAAAGTTATTCAGGATGTGGTATTTTTATCAGACTTCCTGACCACAAATCGTAATAATCAAATACATGACAAGAATTAAATTTACAATCAGATCTGTCTGCTTTTGGACTGTGAGGCTTATAAATTAATATCGTTTTCAAACAAAATTTTTTAAGTGTTTTAAATAAAATGTAAATAGAAAAAATATTACAGTGAAACAAAATAATTTTTTGTTAACTTGGTTGTTCAATTATCGTAAAAAAAATGTATTGAACATCAATCTTATCTTTTGTAATTAATCTTCATAGAATTAAGTCAGTAAGAGTTTTACATTGCAATAAATAAAAATTATATTATACTCATTGTCAATTAATTCTTATATTTGCTACTAAAAAATTTAACGAAATTAATAAACGTACCAATCAAACCATCGTCCACCTGTTGCTGTGTGTCTCCGTTAGGTTGTACCAATTTTGATAACAAGCAAAATAGTAAGGCTAAAACATCCAGATTGTCCGCGCTGCGAAGAAACACTGGGAGACACGACGGGCGGAGTAATCCCCAGATGCGTATGATGACCAACAGCTCCCGAACGGTATTCAAGGCCTTGTGATCCTTAAGAAGCTCATACTGCAAAGCAAAATAGTAAACTAAAGCTAATATAATTGATATGAAGATAATTTTAATTAATTTTAATAGAAGGCTATAATTATTTTGATATTATATGAAAGCCAATATAAATTTAATAACGGATATTTGGTGCCACAAAAAATTATTTATTCACAAAAATATATTAGAAGAAATAGACATAAAAATCTAGATTTAAGAATGTTTTGTGATTTTCGGAAACAATAGTTAGATTCGCTAAAAGTACCTACCCCACCAGTCTTCATTTGCATCCTCTGCTCAGGTAATCTGGCCAGCAAGTTCAAAGCTAAGTCAGCGACCCATTGAATAAGTTGCTGCAGCGATTGCAACGTACTCGGTTCTACCGTAAACTCTTTCGGATCGAGATGCAGCAACACCTAAAATAAAACATTAAATAAGTAATTTTATTTCATTTAACTATTAAAGTTTTAATTTGTTAAAACATAATTATGTATTTAATTTTTGTCATGTCATATCTTAAAAATTTCTATAATAAATCATTGAATGGAAAAGAAAGTAATAGAAGAGTAAGATGAGAAATCTGATTTATGGAAATTTAGCTGGCCGAGAACTGAGATGCTTGAAGTAGAACTTTGATTTCAAAATACCTTGTCAACATCAGTAATAACGTCAGTTATCACTGCGGCTAAACTTTCCGCTGGCCCTTTGTCGTGAGATATCAAATCCGATGGTCTCAGTAAAGATTTGAAGGCAGTAGCTACCGAATGTATCATCAGTAACGATGACAAATCCGCCGCCTTGTTCTGTCCTGTTATGAGCATTCTAAAAATAACAATTGCAGGCGTTTAATCTTTCTGATTTGTAATTTGAGATAATCTTTTTCATATCACTTCAATTCCTAAAGAGATCTTCAAAGCTCTTCTTAAGTTTAACTCCGAGGTATTCTTTTATTTTTTTAATCAATTTAAAAACTAATTTAGAAGAAAATTTATTCATATCAAAAATATCTTTTCACATATGCAAGTATATAGTTACGCACCTATACAACGACGTCTTGATGGATAAAAATTGGATATAATGATATTGCTGTGTAGATTGTAATTGTCTGTTAAAGGAAACGTCCAATCGCTCACACAATGCTTCAATCATGGATGATCTCAGACATAAAAGTATGTCCAACCAATCCAATCCCGTCACCAAGCAATACTCCAGTAATGTACAGGCATAGCTTAGCGACATCGACGTACCTACAAAATCACATATATTGTTTTGATCGTATTTCACACTCTCCCAGAAATATCTTGTAATTAAGAGAATGAACACTAATGAATTAATTTCAATAAAGAAAATTTAATTGTATACCTGTGGTACCGTCCGGCAACAATTTATAGAGATACATATTGCCCTGAGTGTCGCACGCAAGAAGTACGCATCCCAGCCACGAAAGATCCATATGAGCAATAGACACAGAGTTCTTGAAATATTTGTTGCTAGGCTCATCTGGACGCCAGCTTGTATTCAGGGATGAGAATGCCACTTCCTTCAAACAGTCCAAACGATTTAGGCAGTGCACTGACGAGTCCGCTAATGCTATTATTACATAACTGGGAGGCGGCAAAGTTGTTACTATGGATAGTTTTGTAGTGGCTATCGCCGTGACCGGTGACTGACAACGATACTGCGACTGATATTGCCAAACCTGCATGCCAAGAATAAAGTAAACTCTATATTAAAAATAAATATATTTTTTAAAAATATATAAATAATAATAGATAATAGTATATATCGATATATAATATATTATTTATATCTATTTTTATCAACGTGTATTAACTTTAATCTCAGTTTAATTTACTTTTTATCTTCTTCTAGTTTTAAAAATTAGAAAAAGATAATGAGTAAATTACACAGAGATTAAACTTAATCTATATTGATAAAAATGGATTTTATATGACTATTAAACACTATTTGATCGTTATCATTTATTTAAATACTGTAATCAGACGTGTCTTGTTTCGTTTATTTATATAATATTTGCCACTTAAATACTTTCATACGTCAAAATTTGCTTATGAAAACAAAAATATTGATTAATTGAATACTTACGACTGTCTTGAAAGGTTCTAACGTTTTTGGCTGAAACAATTTGTGAACCGGTTGCGACTTCTCCCGCAATTCCCACACTTCAACAAATCCACCGCTCTCACTGTTTGCCGCGATGACCAGAGAATCGGCATCTTCTCTGACCACAAACTTTAAATGAGTTACGACTGTACCTGCAAATGAGTATATAAAAGATCTATTCTTTTTAATTGAACTTACACAGTTCATCGTTTCTTTTTTTCTATTCTATCCATGAAATAAAAAAGAAAAAGGAACTGTGCAAGAAGTTCAACTAAAAAAAGAATTATATCTATAAAAAAATGAACTGTTTATATTGTAATAAACCATTCAGCCATTAGTCTTACATGAATTGTCCTTGGGTGCCCCATCTTGCAGAAAAAAACTTGGTAAAGCTTGCGAGGTGATGGTGCACTTGTCGTCATTCTTGCGCACCAGTACTCTAAAGCATCTTATGGGTAAGCAGATGCTACCGCTACTAACCGCAACGAGAAAGTGGCCGTCTGGAATTCAAGAAACAAATTATCGCAATATCGTCTACATTTGCAAATCGCTTTATGACGTGAGAAAAAGTACTTTTTCCATAACACAAGTCAACCGCGGTTATCCTGTGTCTCGTGTTGCCTAGACTCTCCGTCGAATAGCAAGTCGGATTTTGAAGATCCTTCGTGATCATGATTGCACCAACCATGCCCGTCGTCGATACCACCAGCACACCTTCGGCGGCTCTTCCGCCGAATTGCCTCACGGAAGGTGCGAACAGTAAGTGATTAAATTTCTCGCTATAATGGATGCTATCTTTCTTTTCTGTTACTAGGCCTGTCTATGGAATTAATAAAAGAAGATATTAGAGGAAAAGACTAAACTATAAAAGTAATATATCTGTTTCAAGTTTTGATTATGTATCCACATATGACTTGAATTTTTTTTTAAACCCTTGGTAAAAAATTTTTCTTAGAATTTTTAGAAGAATTAAAACACTTTTCAGAAATACTGAGAAAGTCTATGGACGGTATTCATAGCGATTCTTATATTCAAGACCGTTTTAAGGGGATGCAGGAGTGACCAAATTATCACATTACAGTTGTATAAAAAATCCTTTTATACGATTAAAATAGACGCAAAATTAGGAGGTAGTGCAGTGGACCTTGTACTAAAATCGAAAAAAAGTTAAAAAATTTTTCAACATTCTTTCGATTTTAGTATAAAATCCACTGCACCACCTCCTAATTTTGCGTCTATTTTAATCGTATAAAAGGATTTTTTATTCCGTTAAGTCAATTTGAAGATTTTTATACGACTATAATGTGATAATTTGGTCACTCCAGCATCCCCTTAAGTACAGTCTTAAGAGGTCACGAACCAATTAGAGGGCCGTATTAGCATTTTAAGATATTACTTAAGGCGATTTTGAAATATGAATAGACTCTGAATACCAGTCTATGTCTCTTCGTAGAATTTTTCATAATTTTCAGAAGTTTTCACATGATTCTATAATTTCCAAAAAAAATACTTTACTTTCTTAGATTTTCACATTTCACCTCAAATTATAAAATGAAATATCTTAGAATATTTCAGAATTCATGTGAAGCAATCTAGAAAAAAATGCTTCCTTGTCATTTTTGAAAAATGTTCCAAATTTTTATTTAAAAAATCTGAGAAATTTTTTAAATAATTATAAAATCATTCAAAAACTTTGAAATTTATAAACAATTCTAAAAAATCATATGAAAAATTCTGAGAAAAATTTTTACTAATTAAAAATATAATAATACAAAACAATAATAGAATAATAATCTTTAATATAATTTTTGTTGTGATAATACTGCTAAAAAAAAACTTTGTTGTCTCTAATCTCATCAATTCGGTCATCTAGATACCTTTTTGCCATTATGAAACCATGCTGCACCTAGTATGTGCTCACCAGGGAAATATGCCGAACCTATTAATACCCATTCATTCAAAATATGATCCTTGAACATCCACAACTGCACATTTCCAGCAGTGTCAGCCATTACCAACTTGTCACCAGGTAGATCCCATTCTAATGCAGTAATGTTGTGTTTATTCGAAAGTACTCTGGATACATACAAGAAACGCTTATTACATTATCTTGATTTGTTGGCTTTTTAAAAACAAATTGACAAAGACAGTTAATAAGAGATTAGATAAGATATGTATTGTAATATTTTTTAAAGAATATTACAAAGATAATAATTTAAAAGATCTAATTAAAGTGCTTACTTATGAGCATGCCATGGCATATTTAAATCCGCTACATAAACATGACAACCCCGTGTCTTGCCACTGCTGTCATCTAACTCTGTCATTGTAGTAAACGCCACTATGTTCCGACTGGATAAGGAACACATCGATTGTCCATTGTATAAACTGAGAAAGCAAATCGTTAATTAATTCAACTATTATACAAAATGTTATATATTAGCTGTGAAATGTTTTATTTATAGATCTATTTTTTATAACTGAACTAGTATACACTTTTAAAACAAAGTGAAACAGATATATTTTGACATTTGATGAAGCTAAGAAAGAAAGTTTTAGTGCAGTCTAATGCAGGAATAAAAACCAGGTCTCATATCTTTAAAAAAAACATACCATTCTTGATTGGAAAAAAATTTAGGAGAACTCCTCCTGTTGACGGTATACAGCAGATCCATGCTTCTTCGTTTTCTTAATTATTCTTGGAGAAATATAATACTATCCTTATAATCCTTTCCGAATTAATGAGAACGCTAAAATGTGTTTTCTTCAATCTTCACGAATATAATATTGCTTGTTTAGGGTTTGATTAGAGCTCTTTTTTTAAAACACATTCTTTGCACAACTCTCATAGATGGTGACAGTAATCCTTTTCCAAAGGAATGAAATTGTAAAATCTCTGTTGTCGATTTTTCTACTGGAAATTGCTACAAATGTAGCATATTTAGTAGATGCACATTGCAAGACACTAGGTGCTTTCCATTCGATGACACAAGTCGACACAAGCGTCGTTCTATCTTTATGATTTACTAAATGTAAAGAAAGATGGAATGATGCTTGGGTCGACTGTATCTCCTAAAAGGAAAGCAGCCACTAACTAATTACATATGGTTTACATTGGCTGTTATTTCGTAGTTTTTTTCTTAGGATCCCATCTCCATCGGGACAGAAGGATACTACGAGAGAATTTCGTAGTACCAAATATTTGTTGCGACACCATTAATTAAAAATTAATTTCGTAAACAACTCGACATTTCGATGTGTGATGAGCCAACTTTCTGCATTGTTTTCACCCGTTTGCACCTTCTACACTATTCAGCGCGAAAATTGGAAATTATTTCTTTATAATTTTATTTGTTTATAGAAATAATAAAATTATTATTAGATCATATTATATTATAACTTAAAAGTAATATATATAATGTATGTTATGATATTATATTGTAATCCATAACATTATATATTATTAGAATAATAAAATTATATAAAAATACAATCAAAAAGTCATATGAATATATCATTTACCGACTGAGAAATTGCGTGAGGTGGCTACGTAGTTCAACGTCCACATTTTTTAAACATAGAGGCCACTGCGACTTTCTTTGAAATAGAGTCCTTAGAAGTAGAGAGTCTTCAACCAATCAGAAAACAGGATTCCGATGAATTTTGCTTCGTATTATCGGAATCCTGTTTTCTGATTGGATGTAGAGTGTCGTACGACGAAAATCGGATGCAGTGTGAATCCAGCATAAGGCCGGAATCAGACTAGGCATTAAAGATTGAGATTGAAGATTGAAAGATTGAAATTTGACCAATCAAAACAATAGGAGCTAAAATTCCTTTGCCCTCATTGGTCAAATTTCAATCTTCAATCTTTGATCTCAATCTTCAATGCGTAGTCTGATTCCAGCCTAATGAGAAAGACAACCTAAGGGTGAAATCACACGGTGCGGAAGAAGATTGCGGAATAGAAAATGCGTCATTGAAGCAACCAATTAGCGCTATTCGGAATAGCGCTGATTGGTTGCTTCAATGGCTGCGTTCAGCAGACTCAACAGTTTTGCAACCGTTTTATGATTGTCTGCTGAGATAGGACCATTCTTCTAGATCTAAAAGTATGATCCAATCAGCGCGAAGGAAACTTCCAACAGTTGTAAAACAAACGTTCTGCTGAACGCAGCCATTGGCTGCGTTCAGCAGACTCAACAGTTTTGCAACCGTTTTATGATTGTCTGCTGAGATAGGACCATTCTTCTAGATCTAAAAGTATGATCCAATCAGCGCGAAGGAAACTTCCAACAGTTGTAAAACAAACGTTCTGCTGAACGCAGCCATTGAAGCAACCAATCAGCGCTATTCCGAATAGCGCTAATTGGTTGCTTCAATGACGCATTTTCTATTCCGCAATCTTCTTCCGCACCGTGTGATTTCACCCTAAGAGTCCTAAAGGTATATTCACATGCATGCGTCAAGCAGCGAGAGCAGCAACCAATCAACGAGGCGATTTTTACAGTGGCGTAAAAAATATTTTTTTACACCACTACCCGTCTCGTCCAGCTGATTGGTTGCTGCTTCCATTGCTTGACGTTGATGCTTGCATGTGAATGCACCTTAAGACGATGAAATAATTTTTCCTTTCGTATCTCGTCGTTCTGCACATAATCGGGGCTGATTCGAAAATAATCTCAATAAAATATAGACAAGGCACGAAAATCTCTATCGAAGGTACAATTTTCATTTTGTATCTTTGCTGATCCTATTGTCACAAATGTTAGGCAACATCGTCAAAAATAGTCTCTTACTGCGTGGTAAGAGTGTACTGCTTAGAAGGTAATTAAACGTCAAATTAAAGTCTTCAATTAAAATTGAAGTCTTTGATCAAATTAAAATTTTTAATTAAATTAAAGTCGTTTTGTCTTTATTGTTGAAATATATGACTTTTCAAGTTTAATGTATGAAAAGCGACTGTGCAACTTCTTAAAGGAGTTTTAAATTCAAAATTTATATATTTACAAAATTAAATAGTGTATAATTCATAATTGATTATGAAATTCAAGGAAATTGAAGCTAAGGTTTGAAATCAAGGTTTATGAATCTTAATTGAATAAAACGAAGTTAATGTACACTTGAATATTTTATGTTGGCTCTTATAAGCATTATACTTTGTTGATTTATTTTCATTAGAGCTTAATTTCCGTTATTTGTGGAAATTTGTTGTTAAACAATTTAATAATATAGTGATTTATAAGAAGATTCACTTGCAGATACAATGTGCGGCAAATATCGTACAATAGTAAAAGTAGATGGGACGAGGTAACTTCTAGGAATCAAAGCACAGCATTGGAAAATGAGGATGACTTGGATAAGCCTATAAAATATTCTACATCAAAAGCTTCTACTATGAGAATTGATGAATATCGGGATCCACATGGAGATAGTGTACCATGGTATCAGGGACTTGCCATAGCAGGAAGCTTTGCTGTCTTCCTAATTTATTTCTGTATCTTAAGGGAGGAGAACGATATTGATGATATGATATATTCTGACTTGAACGAAACGTTAAGCAGAGCGAAGAGGGAAGAAGAACTTAAGAAAAAAAAATAGAGCATCTATTTATTTGAAATAGTACTTCTTGGTTTGTTTTGCAAAATTCTTTGTTAGGTAATTGTTTTTATTGTATAATGTACATATGCTTTCCATAAGAATTATTTAGCAGACGTTTGATTCAATGTACAGTAATATATCTAAATACATTCTGTACAGAATAGCAAAAAAAGAAATGTATTAAGAAAATGTCTTTTAGTGTGTAAATAAAAAATATTAATACATTTAATGTAATGTTTCTTCATAACGGATACAATAAATGGCCCCATATAACATTATTCAATATTGTACACCACTCGATGGATGGATAGTAAATAATTGTGTCTGGAATACACTTTTTCCATGTGAGCCTCCAAGGAGCCACAACCATCGTCATCGATAATACTGTCACTTCTTTCGTACAGGAAGGATGTAATCTGATGTCAGCAATACCTGCAAAAATTATTTGCAATTAATACTTTCTATCTAGTAACAATAAGTTATTACAAGGAAAAATCAAAAAGTGAGAATTAAGGAAAATTGAGCCAAGGATTCATATGTCGTTTCGAAGGCAGTAAAGTTTTCACAGATGGAATCAAAAGACTTGTTACAAAGGCAGGCTGTTACAAAATGTGCTGCAAAGCTAGACAATTATATTAAAAAATGATATATTTTGTTAATGTGCATTACACGTAAGGGACAAATAAATTCACTACTTTCTGCGATTTCCCTTTATTTACAGTCTTTCCTCGAGATGCTCGAGAATATATGTTGTGCTACTTACTACAAGTGCAGTAAGACCGCAGCAACCACCTCCAAAAGGTGTAAACAGGCATAACTTGCAGATAGAACTTCAGTCTGGTCAGAAAACCGCCAAATGCAATGGACACTAATCTGAGCTGCAACCAAAAGCTATACATATAATGCCGCAATTATATCTCGGAAGAATTTAAAAAGATTAAAGTCGGATATTCTTACTAGAGTAAATACAGTGTAGTACACCCACGTTGTAGGCATTAGGAACAGAAGAATGGTGAATGACAGCGTCCCGACGAACAGCTGGTCCGTCTGATACAGACAAGAGTCCACTCTTTCGCGCAGGGGATTCTTCTTCTTTCCAAGGAAAAGTCTAAAGAGAGCCGTGATTCCTCTCAGCTGAATATTAAAGAGCCTGTGATGAAATATAGCTTTTTTGAATTATTTTAAATATAGAAAATCAATAATTTTATCACATTAGAAAACGTGAAAAGACATACCTTGCTGCATAAACGTAAATGCAGTACGTGTGGAAACTGACTAGAGCTAGAAGGTCTGCGACGATGGATATTTGAAACGTGATGCCGAAACTTCCAAACAAAAGCAGTATTTCGAACGCGAGATTCAAAAGTGGCTTCGAGAATATTAGAAATGTCCACCAGAGCTGAATATGATACAAGAAGAACTTGCCCATAGTATTGTTTAAGGCATGATTAAGCTTTAGGCCAGCTGGTACACCCATCAACCAATTAATTAGCTCCTTTAAACTCTCCACGACTTTCTATTGAATAGAAATTCCAATTAAAACAGTAGAAACAGATAGAACCAAAAATGTATCTCAAATATATAATATTCAATTTTATATAATAAACAATTGAGCCTTTTATTTTCTTTGTTTCAAATTAATTTTAATTTTGAGATCAAATCTGTTGAATAATATCATTTAAATTCAAAATATATTTAATCAAATTTGTACTAGAAAGAAGTAAATGTAAAAGATTGTTTTGTTATTGTACACAATAAGTATATCCAAACTTGCCTCTGCATTGTTTAGAAGGAGCTGTGACGGCTGATCTTCGATATAATATCTCAGTAATCGCAATACGAAGATTCCTAGTGCCATATCTATTACAATTGCTAGAGCATAGTTTCCTGTTTTCAGTTTAAAGCCTCTATTCCTTATAACTGTTGCTAACATCCACTTGACATTCTCAAGCCAGTCATGAATATGCAAGCCAAGGGAAGAGTACTTCAAAATCGGCAATAATCTGTTCGTTACCTTGGATAGTAACAAGACAAGGTGCAAATAAAATGACATGTGATAAATCAGCAGACTCTCCCAGATACGAACAAATCTAGACTTGACATCCAATTCGTCCTTCTTGCTCTGTACAAGCTTAGCAAGCTCGTGAAAGTGATCGCCCGACGTTGTCTTGCTCTCAAACAATTCTGTTTCCTGCAGAGCCCGCTGATTATACAAAACGATCGTCGTGCGCATTGCTGACAGATCAACTTTCTTATTGTTAAGAGTGATATTCAACAGACAATAATCTTTGTCCCGTCCATCCTCTGAAGGCTTTGTCACAATGTGTACCCAGTTTGCATGTTTACGTTCCAAAAATTCTTCAATAGCCTCGTTCTCATTGGAATGATATCCAATAACGTCTAACGCAGACTTAGTTGATTCTACTGGACCCATCTTACGCAAACTGATGATGTAGAACTTTTTTAAGCCACTACAGGTATCATGTATTACTTTACCAAGTACATAGCCGGATTTTTCGGTGCACAGCATTTGTGGAATGAATATTAACAAATTGCTTGTCATTTTTACAGCCAAAGATTACCCAGTCAGGCAAGTCTGTCGAAAATAAATTTTATCAAATAATCGCTACAAATTCTATTATTTTTAACCCTTAGTACACACCTTAGTTTTTGGCATCCTTAATACACATGTTCGGTCACTTGTGTCCTGGATTAATTTTCATCACTTTTACAAGTATATATAAATTATTAAATGATTTTAACATATATTTTGACATCTTTAGAAAGTATTTGTACAGTTATATATTCATAAGAATTGTAGATAAATTGTTATAATTAAATATAGTTAACGAAATGAGAAAAATACACTGTTTCATACAAAAATATAAAACTCTGAAACAAAAATGTTTAAAGGAAAAATATGGTTTCACTATCTTAAAATTCACATTCCAAACTATAAAAAAAAATATTTCAAGTGCCGGCTGTCCAAAAAGTTTAGTCATTGAGTAACCTGAAAATGACGTTTTTTTAATATGCCTGAATGGCTATAAATTGAAGATATATTGCATTTACATTTTAAACAATGCATTTTATTATTGCTATTGTATTAAAAAAACTTGTAATTTATTAAGAAAATGTTCTTTATAATATTACAAACAACATAATATATAATATTGACAGCATTTAACACTAAGATACCAAAAATCACGTTTATTAAGGGCTAATATGTTGTTCTAGGCTTAAATTCTTTTTTTAATAATTCGCAAAACATTCCCGCAATACAACCTAGAATTAGTTGAAAACAAAGAAAAAAGTAAAAACTTTTTAGTTACAAAAAATGTACACACTCTGTATATTGACTGCGTTCCACTTAACGCTCGCGAGCATCGTTTGTCCTTGTTTAACATTTGATAAACGACAAGAATGAAATTATTTCACGAG